TCCGAGTTTTATTTTCGGATACACGTTGACAACTGTGTAAAACGAACAAATTCAAATAGAGTTTTGCGTTAAGAGAAAAGAAAACAAATATAGTTTTGTTTCGTGTATAACAAGAAACAATCTACGGTCCTCGGGGCGGAGCCGGAGGTGGAGATTTATTGTCGTCATTTTTCGCTTGGAGAACGGAAGCAACAGTCCCAATCAAAGTCAACACCAAGAGAAAAACAGCGGTTATAGTGGCTGTTCCGGTCCAAAGATCTTTGAAGTAGACTCGTCGGAGTGTGGCGATAGATCTGTTGAGACGGCTGTTGTAATGATCGTTTAGTTCTTCAGCTATACTGTAATAGTAAGATCCAAAATCAACGAGCCCTAAACACAACTTATTCACCATTTCCGCCACCGATCTTTGATGTCCCAACCAGTTCTTTATAACTTCTTTAAGCGTAAAACGTATAGATTTGTTAGGAATTTCATAATTGAAAGGAAAAAAAAAAAACAAGTGGCTTTTGATCTAGTTGTTTTCTCATAAAAAAAAGTCCTTAGTTCGAGTTCACTTGAGATGAGGGGTATTTGAAAAAAAAAAAAAAGTCTAAACGCTGATTCCGAAACCACATATATTATAAAAAACAAAAGAAATACCGGAACGTAATATAGAAATCTGTTACTAGTTGAATATATAAACGTATTTGTTCGACTTGTACTACATTTCATAAACCAAATATTCCAAATAACCGGGATCGAGCACCCTAAATTCCTCATGTTTCATATTGTTGAACTAGATCTTTGTAAAGTGTATTTACCTTTCTTGACGAGCAAGTCAACGTTTTGCTCGGTGTCGATGAGGAAATCCAAGAAGGCGATGTAGTTACAAACAAAAGCTGAGAAAGGGTAATGACATTGCTCGAGTGCCATTAAATTCCTCAAAACCATCTCGGTGTTGTCTTCCGCTATGAAACAAGGCATTTTCAAGATTCTGCGTTCGAAATTGATCACCAAAGAAAATTCATTTTCTTTATCCACATTCTCAAAACCCACTCCTGCACTGTCTAGTTCGTCTGCGTTGTGTAGATTCTTTATGCTCTTCGGTTGCGCAGCTCTACTAGTCATATGATCTTTCTTCAAACCAAGTGTTTCGACACGAACACGTCGAAACAAGTCTGTAAAATGTCGGAATTTCACTTCTTTTTCAATCTTTCTTTCAAACCTAAAAACTCCAAGGACAATGTCACGAAACGTTTTCTCAATTTTAATATAGAAGAGAAAAGGTTCGAATAGCTCCTCTAAAATAGCATAAGGAAGCTGGTTCTCGAGCAAGATTAGGTCTTCTAGAATAGTGGCTGTGAGACAGGGCTCCTCGAAAAGAATATCTCCTTTCTTGTTGAAGTTTTGAGTTCCGGTTTGAAGGAAGAACACTAGTATGAAAACCGAGTCGTGGAGGATCATTTCCACGAACTCTTGGGATTTGATCCAATCCGTTGATTCGGCATAGCTTTCTCTTATGGTTTGCTCATATCTTTGGATGATTTCCCTGAACGTTTCGACAGTTTGATCCCCATATAAATTTGCAACAGCGTTAAGGTATTTCTTCTTTATAAGCTCCATGTTCATGTAGTCCAAATATCTGGAATCCGAATGCATTAGCTTAACTATAAGTTTTAAAAAAAAATTGAATGTTTCAGACACAAATAATACTAGTTTAAATACATGCTAAATATGTATACAAATCGTTAACGCAACCGCAAAATTCAAAACACAATTTTTTTGTATATAATTTTTACCTGATATTTGTTAGAAAACAATTTAAGTATTTTGTGTTTACCCACTTTTTTACATAAACACAATAATCTAACAAGGTAACGTAACCGCAAACTCAACATCAAATCCAACACCAAAACATTTTTTTAACAATTTATTTTCGTTTGCATATTATAACTTCAAAATGATATTTGATACAAGAAAACACAATTTTATTTGTATGATGATAAGTGTGTGTATATATATATGTACCTAAAATCGGTTTTGGAGAGCTCAAGGGCTTGAGCTTTCTTAAAATGGTGAAGAGGACCGATTAGAAGCATTTGAGGAGTGTAAGCTTCAGGGTTTACTCTCCGTAACCGGTTCGGCACTCTATAAATGCAACAATACTCTTTGTTGACCCAAGAAGGCCATAAACCGGAAATGTCAGGCTCAGAACGAGAGTCCGGTTTAGTCATAACCGAAACCTTAGCTATCTGAGTTGTTACGTGATTAGGAGCACTTGGATCACGAAGTCCTTCGCTCCATCTACCCATGTGACTAGATCCGGTTTCATTCTCCTTGGTTACATTAAATTCCATGATCAGATCTCGTGGTACATTAAATTCACTTAGCTTTGTTGTTCCTAGTTCTAGTTCCTCCATCAGCGGTTGCTTCTCCTACAAGTAAGCAGTCAATATGATCAAGAGAAATAACGTATAATAAAACTATTATGTATGTATAGGATCAGCTGTTATATTTTTAGAAATGAGTAACACAATATCAATTTTGTAACACATCACTAAAATTATAGTAATTGTTTGTATCTTACATTAGTTCAATTTAAAAATTTAAAAGTAGACGACGAGATGATTAAAAAAAAAGAGAGATAAACATAAATAATTAAATAAACTTAGATTTCCTCGAACCTTGGCCATGTAATGCTTCTATGAAATTTATTTATTTGTGCATGGATTATTACATGACGAGGATAAGTGTTTATATAAGATTACAAAAGGAAGGATAGAGAAATATAAATGACGTAAATGTAAAGCTATTAATTCAAGCATTTTTATATTGCTTCTGACTTGGAGAGAATCATCCAACTTTTTCATTCCTTTCTTTGTTGTTTTGGTTTGTTTATCTTTCGAGCAAAGAATTATCGTTGGACCTTTTTTCTTTTCCTATCCTGACAGTATAATTCTTTTTTTG